GAGAACATTAGGGTGACACATAAGTGGGACAGCTGTTGAAAAATATTGTGCATGATGGAAGTCCACTTTTCATTTTTCTGTACCCTGTTTTCCTGTCATGTTGACAAAAAGCCTCTACAGCCTATCTGTCCATCTATCCATCTATCATCTCTCTACATTAGAGTGATTAACAAAAAGAACTTAACAGTTCAATTAATATTAAACTATTATATTTGTTTGTGTGGATGATTAACAGTAATCTTCCAGGATTGAGGATAAACTTGTCAGAAGTGCAGTTTGGATATTTTTAAATCCTTAAAGCAGGTCTACACTGGTCAGAATATTCCAGGCTTTTTCTGGATATTCTGGCCCAAAGCTTTCCTAAATTCCTGCTATTACCTGCACATTCCAGAGTGATGCCAGGCACCTGTTCACACAGTGTTCCATTGTGCTACCTGGCATCACCACTACTGTCATAGGTTGCTCCCTCTGAGATAAAAAAAAAAAAATGAGGTGCCCAGCATCGATCACATTAAGTGCCTCAATGGGAGTGACTCCTGCAAAATCCAGAGCAAAAGTAAAGTTATTTTAAACCAAGTTAAAGAAGGGATGGCCCATGTGAAGACAGTCAACACCCAAATTGGGGCTTTGGCTCTGTGTTGTCAGGACAGGGAGACATGGGGGTGATGGTGGGGAACTGGTTTTAATGGTTCTTGTAGATATTTGAGCATTGGACTAGGACATTGGAAGACCAGGGTTTGAAACGCAGCTCAGCTAGGGAAACCAACTTTGGGCACATCACACTTTCTCAGCCTCAAAGGATGGCAATGGCAACCCCCCTCCGAAGAAACTTGCCAAGAAAACCCTGTGATAGGTTTACCTTAGGGTTGCCATAAGTTGGAAACAACTTGAAGGCACACAACAACAACAACAACAACAACAACAACTAGATCTGTTCTTACATACACACCCACACACAAAACAGAAGGAAAAGAGATAGAATACATGAATTTCAGTGGAA